GTTGTAGTCCCTACCAGCTGTTTTTGTAGGTTTTAAACTGCCAGAATTTTAAAAGACAAGATCTCCGTTTGCATTGAACTTTCAGCTTTGTAACTTTGCAGATATTGTTTATGCTCAAACAGCAACATTAGACACTAACTAACGTTAAAAAAGTGAAATCACAATGAACCACCCCTTTAAAGCTTAATGCTGAATGTGCTGATAAGCATTTATGCAATGGCTAAAATATATTTTACACTTAACCGTTCCCCTCAATTAATAGTGTTGCATGACAAAATTCTACATACACTGTTTTGCATTATGTTTTATCATTCATATCGCAGTATACAATGAAAAGGGTGAATCTCATGAAAGCTACAGAGAAATGCCTGGGTCGAATTCCATCCCAAAATCTAAAGAAAAAATAAGCAATTACATTTAACATGATGTTTTGTTAATGCAAAGTATGAATGAAGTCTAAATAATGATTTGTGTATGACTGACTGGAGGATTTTCATTACTGCATTGAATTAATGAGAATGACATATTTTTTGTGTTATGCTAATTAGAATTTGGCATGAGGATGGGCAAAGAAAGCTTCAGTTCAAGTTTCTATTGTGTAGCTACTTTATTAAAGCTTAACTTTAAATTCTGGGTAGCTTGTTGTTTGATTAGCTACAGTTTCAAAGCAGCTTCCTGAACACTGGCACAGTTTTAGAAAAATGAGTACTCCAAGATGTGTCTGTGGTCATGTTACTTTTGATTTAATGTTGTTGGATGCTGTTCAACATTACAGAAAGACACAAACGGTGTTGTCACATTGAAAATCATCCCCAATCAGCAAAGTCGCCCCGTGGCATGCGAGGTGAGAAAAACAAACAAACAGCGAAACCAGTCTCACATCTTACTAGTTTCCTGCTTTTATTTTTAATGATAACAGTCTACTCAACTCGCTTATTCCTATGCGCTTAAATGTGATTTTATCACTTCTTTTTTTTTTTTGTCTGTCTATCCTATATCCCTGGTTAAATTAAGGTTTGGGGTTTATCATGGGAATGGGAAACCAATTGAAAGACACAGGTGACTATTTAAAACATCAATAGCAGATAACAACACTTTTCTCATTAGATGAAGTAACTGCAAACCTTCTTCTGCCATCTGCTGTTCACACAGCGTCAAACTGAAATGCAGTTGACTGAAACCTTTTAGACATTTTTTGACGTTGTGTCAAGCGATGGCAGTATTCTAAGTCTTCATTCACCATATACAAGTAACCATTGTGCTACTGTAAATTTAGAACATCTAGATCCATTTAGAGCTTTGCTTATCATTTTTAGGCTGTAACTGCTGTAGCTCTAGCTGTAGATATTGCCACTATCTGTCTATCTATCTATCTATCTATCTATCAAAAATTCTATTTTTTAAAAAGAATAGTTGGCCCCACTTTATATTAAGTGGCCTTAACTACTATGTACTTACATCAAAAATAAGTACAATGTACTTATTGTGTTCATATTGTATTGCAAAACACTTTTGCTGCTATTGAGGTGGGATACGGGTAAGGTTAGGGACAGGTTTGTTGGTATGGGTAGGTTTAAGGGTGGGTTAAGGTGTAAGGGATGGGTCAACTGTGTAATTATAAATGTAATTACAGAAATTAATTATAGATGTAATTACATGCAGGTATTTTTAAAATATAAGTACAATGTAAAAACATGTATGTACACAATAAGTGCATTGTACCAAATTATTAATTTAAATGTAAGTACATAGTTATTAAGGCCACTTAATATAAAGTGGGTCCAAATAGTTTAACCAAAAATGAATATATCACATCAAGGGAAGCTAACTAACTAACTTAACTAATTTTTATTTATTTTTTATTTTTAAATTATTTACATTTTTTTGAAGATGCTAGTTAAAGCTTCTACAGTATGTAAGTAAGATTATTTTTTTTATACACAAATAGTACATGTTCCTGGGTCAACATCTTTTGATGACCATGGAGAAATCAATCTCTGGATTTAGAAGGCATGATTGGCTGATAAGTCATCTTTTAGAAGCACATACAATGGTTTTACGAGGGAATAATATTTTTCGGATAATGTTTTGCAGATGTATATGAGAGCACAATTCGACTATGACCCAGCCAAAGACGACCTCATCCCGTGCAAAGAAGCCGGCCTGAAATTCCAAACAGGTGCCATCATTCAAATTATCAATAAGAAGGATCCAAACTGGTGGCAAGGAAAGGTGGACAACTCCTCCACAGACTTCGCAGGACTCATCCCTTCTCCAGAACTTCAGGAATGGTACGGTCTGACATGCATTCATTTTTTTTTTCTATATTTGATGACAGACTGACTTTCTTTGAAGTAACGGATTAGTAATGTAATGTACATTTAAGATCTCCCTGTCTTTCACAAGTTGAACATTTCATTTTTCTTCAGGCGGGTAGCAAGCAAAAGCAAAGCAACACAGGAAGCCAGTCAGTCCTGCAGTCCTTTTGGCAAGAAGAAGAAATGCAAAGACAAATACCTTGCCAAACACAGCTCAAGTTAGTGAAGCTCACTTCTCTAGCATTTCTAAGGCCTGTTTCACATCACATGCGGTACATGTCTATTTTGAGAAAGTGCTCTAATAACAATCTTTAGCGAAATAGACTTTTATGAATCAGCACACAATCTTGCCCATTGTTTGTTTAAAAAAAAGATGCCAGGCACACAAACAGCATTTTCTGTGCTGCACTAAATCCAGTTGATTTAAGCTGTTGATATTCTGCACTTTGCGTTTGTGTTCACTTCATGTTTTGAATGTAAAGACACCCCTAATAATGTAAATTAGATTTCATAATGATGAATTGTAATAATTCTCAAATACCATCTCCCAATAACCAGTTGTTGTTTGGCTGTATTTAAAAAAATAAACTCTATACTTTATTTTCTGTACGAAGCACGAATGGTGTCTGTGTTAAAGCACAACATGTGTCTGCTGTCGTAGAAACAGACCTTAGACAGTTGCTCTTGTCATGCATTAGCTAATGAATTTTTGTTTCTCCCATAGTCTTTGACCAGCTTGATGTAATATCCTATGAGGAAGTAGTGAGACTGCCCGCATTCAACAGAAAAACTCTTGTACTCATTGGTAAGCATCATCATACCTATCTCTGACACAGCTCAGACCAGCAGGGAGTTCTTGGCAATGGAAAACAGACTGTGATGAAGCGTTTGTAAAATTGTAAATCCAGCCAAAGTTTTGGTCACACTTTAGTTTGGGGACCAATTTTCACTATTAACTAACTATTAATTATGCCTCAATAAACTCCTAATTTGCTGCTTATTAATAGTTAGGAAGGTAATTGTTAAGTTTAGATATGGGGCAGGATTAATGGAACCAAATTATGCTCATGCAGAATAAGACATTAATATGTGCTTTATAAGTACTAATAAACAGCCAATGTGCTAGTAATATGCATGCTAATAAGCAACTAGTTAATAGTGAGAATTGGTCCCTAAAGTTTTTTATATTTCCATTTGTAAAAAAAAATAATATACATTTATAACACTATACTTTGTTTTAAAATTACCGTAATTTTCAGAAATCTAGTTAATGCTGCCGTATGGGTGTTTCTAATACAATGGGTGAGGGTGTGACGGTATAATTCTCTCTTCTGATCACCGTTTTATATATATATATATATATATATATATATTGCTGCTTTTTTTTTTTTTAGCAACCGGGAGCACAAAAATATATTTGGTGTAGTTTTGCACATAAGTTTGGCACTCACCCTGCACATAGTGTTACCCATTAAATATATTATAAAAATGCTATCAATAATAGTATTATTTATTTATTTATAAAATCTTAAACAAAATAATAAATACAGTGTGATTATACTATTATATTTAAAAATAAAAATTATTAAATAAAAATACAATTATTTTATAGTACACTTAAAAATACAGTGCTATCATTTACATTTTCATTTTTGCCAGCAAGTAAATATATGCACTGCAGGTTTTAGCGCTGCTGAGTGAAACGCGTCAGTGAATGAAATGTAACAGGTTCGCATTTTGCTCTGAGCAAAACGGCAGCGCATACAGTAGCCTAGGTTTATGCTTTCAGTTCGAATGGAAATCTTATGCAGTTTTACAGTCAGTCGATCTAAAACACCCAGCGCATTTTTTTATTTTGGTCAAGCATGCAACACTTATGTGCATCCCTGACTATAGATGTTTTCCCAGCTATGACAATTTCTGCTTCTGAATACACTTGAAATATGTAAAAAGAGTCCATTGATAAAACGTAGATCATGTACAGTAGATCTACAAAGATGATCAAAATATTTGAAAACGCATAGTTAATTTAAAGTTTACAGGCTAAATTGTTATTTGCTCTTTTGCTGTTGTTTAAAGGTGCACCTGGAGTTGGAAGGAGCCATATCAAAAATTCACTGCTGAGCAAGTATCCTGAGAAGTTTGCTTACCCAGCACCACGTATGTACTGTCCAGCTGCATGCCTTCTCTTTTTAATTTCTTAACATTGAACTCTTCCACCTGTTTTTGAGAGTGTGAATTTTTAAACAGAGCCAAACGGAATTATATACAGTCTTAAATCCATGTATAGTTTACCTAAATTGTATACAGTCTTAGGGTGTATTCACACCTGCCTTGTTTGGTTCGATTGAATCGAACTCAAGTTTGTTTCCCCTCTTGGTGCGGATCTTTTGGGCAGGTGTGAATACAGCAATCGCACTCGGGAGCGGACCAAACAACCACACCGAGACCCATCTGAAGAGGTGGTCTCGGTCCGCTTCCAAACGAACTCTGGTACGCTTGAGAATTTCTGTCCAATGAATGGATGACCTTTAGCACACGTGTGGTTTTGTTTACACTTGCAAAAAGGGCAGTGTGACCGCGAACCACACCAAACAAAAAAAATCAACATTGTATTTGGTCCAGACCAAAGCTAGTGAACTTCCTGGTGTGAATACACCCTTAAATCCATGTATAGTTTACCCAAATGTAAACATTTTGTCATTATCCATAACTCACCGTCATGTCAAACCTGTTCGACAATGATGTCAAGTTGACATGCTGTAACATTTTTCTGACATTTTCAGTGAAGCTGCTTTGAAAGAATATGTATTGTGAAAAGCGCTATACAAATAAATTTGAATTGAATTGAATGTGAGTATATTGGAGGCTTAAGTGGCTTAAAGTTGTTTAATTCCACTGCACTGATTTTCCATTGTTTTTCTATGTAAACATGTTCTAGACTGACTTCTGTTAGTTCAACTTAAAAAAATAAATAAATAAATATTTTAAAAAAACTAATCACTAACTAGTTTTTTTTTATTGCAGTTTTTGCAATTAAAAGACAGTTTTGAAAGCTTTTTCACTGCAAAATTATTTTCTTAATCTCTGGTTTTATTTTTTACTTTTTAGTTTTCCAGTAAGAATGTATTATCATCCATAAAACAAGTTACATTTACTTGTGAAACAAAACTGTATAAGATATTAAGACTATAAGATATATAATTTAGAGATTAGCTTAATTTAAAGGGGTCATATGATGTTGCTAAAAAGAACATTATTTTGTGTATTTGGTGTAATGAAATGTGTTTATGCGGTTTAAGGTTCAAAAAACACATTATTTTCCACATACTGTACATTATTGTTGCTCCTCTATGCCCCGCCTTTCTGAAACGCGTCGATCTTTACAAAGCTCATCGGTCTGAAAAGCGAGGTGTGCTCTGATTGGCCAGCTATCCAGAGCGTTGTGATTGGCCTAATACCTTAAGCGTGTGTTGACTAGACAAAAACATTAAAACCCATTATAAACGAGGCATTTGTTGCGTCCAGTGGGGACATAATTACGGATTATAATGACTTTTAATAATGAATATCTTTTTACGCGTTGCGTTACATCGTGCCGCGTAAACATAAAACCATGTCTGCATTTGTGATCGGAGAAATGACAAACAACAAGCGCTACTCTACACTGCTCAAAACTCGCGTTTGAATCATCAGTGGCAAATCCTTTAAATATGAAAACGTACTTACAGTCTGTGAGTCAGAACAGCCGGCATTGTAGTCTACTCTACCAGGATCAGGAAACAGTCCTCCATAAAATGCGCTGCACACATCTGAATATTTGGGTTGAAGTGTTCTGGAACTGTGTTGTAAATACAACTTAACCACTGATTTCTAGCCGTGTCCTCTTTTGGAAGGCCAAAGTAGTTTCGCTTTCACAACGAAACACGGCGGGCTAGAGTGAGCGGCGGCCTAGAGTATGCGGAAGCCAGCTTGAGTGAGCGGTGGCGGGCGGGCTTGAGAACGGCGCGGCCGGCAGATTCGACAAAGGAGCGTCCGAAGGGCTACGCAGTCATAATCGTAAAGACTGTTTGTTCTTAAAACACCAAACAATTTGGCTGATAAGTTTACAGATGCCTCCTGCCAAATGAAAAGGATGATATTTATGCATTTGTTTACTTTTTTCATTTCAACTATTTAACCAATCGTCAAAACGCACACTCACACAGATGATACAAGTTCGAGTCTGACACTGATTTTTGATCACAGCGCTAGAAGGTCTATTCCATTTTACATTAAAAAAAAAAAAAAAAGTATTTTTAAGGTCTTTTAAATTGTGACTAGCTACACATCTTTAAACATGAGCTAATATTTCTGGGAAGAAACAAGACATTGAAGTTCTATTAGACTGTTGTGAGTCTTAAGCTACAGCTACAGCCAGAGTGAATGGCTTTGTCCAAAATTCAAGACAGACCCCAAAGCGATTCCACTTTTAATTATGTTCAGTGGCTGATTAGAAAACCTACAAATGAGATTTATGGTATATGTCATCTAAACTATGAAAATTGATTATATGTTACATATACAGGGGTTGGACAACATAATTCGAACACCTGGGGATATCTCTTTATTAAGTTGTGTTGCCTTTAATACAGCTTCCAATCATCCTATAATAGCTTTATACTACATTTGAATAGTCTGGAATTTCGTCTTTCAGAGCATCTGCCAGTTCTTTCAGAGATGTTTGAAGAGGGACTTCTCACTCTTCTCTCCGAAACTATTAACAGTGGTTCTCTGTGCTCGGATTTTGTGGAAACAGGGCCTTCAAGGTAAATATTGAAGTTTTCAGTCACTTTGCTGCCGTAATTCTGTGTAGTTTGAACAGAATTCTCCTTAGTAATGGATGGTACCATGGTATCATTGATTTTCAGATTTCTACTATAATCTTTGTCGCTGATGAAGGCTTGCCATGCTTTCCCTGTTGAAAAAAACAGCATATGCTGGTTAGGTATGTTTTGACGCTGGGATGCTGGTTTAAGCTGGTCCTTTGCTGGTTTAAACTGGTCCTTTGCTGGTTTAAGCTGGTCCTTTGCTGGTTTAAACTGGTCCTTTGCTGGTTTAAGCTGGTCCTTTTGCTCGTTTAAGCTGGTCCTTTTGCTCGTTTAAGCTGGTCCTTTTGCTCGTTTATGCTGGTCCTTTTGCTCGTTTAAGCTGGTCCTTTTGCTGGTTTATGCTGGTC